GCGTACTGCGCGAAGGGAGGGGAGGTGGGGCTGGTTGAAGAGGCGCGTGGCTCTTGCGTCACCGGAAAATGCGCCCCTTTGCCAGTAGCTCTTTGTTTCATCTGAGGTCTGCGCGAGACTCTGCTTAACCCTATCCCGGGCGAACTGCAAGCCCTGGGTTCGATGGCATCTTTCGGCGGCCTCGGACGCCCTATCTGATGCAAGCTGTACTGCGCGTTGACAGCGTCTCGGCACCTGAGTAAGTGGGATGCGTCTCCTGCCTGCAAACGGCGCGACAACGCGAGCTGGGCCCCCGCCGCCGCTTCCCTCTCCCCCCGTGCATCCCTCCGCGCAGCCGCTCGGTCGCAGTCCGCGCGGGCTGCTTTCTCCTTCGCATCGCTGCTTTCTTGGTTCGGCCGAGGGTGCGCGTCATCATTGCGAGCCTCTCGCCGTCGCGCTCCGTCTTCCTCGCTGGGCTTGGGGGCGCGAGCGGCCCGGGCGCAGCGCCCGCGAAAGAAAAAGGGTGCCTTCTGACGCGCCGACGCGCCCCGATGAGCGGCTGCAGCGTGCCCGGGCCACGTGGCGCCCCTGGCAAGTCCAGCGCGCGCCCAACGCCAGCGGTAGGTCTACGCTCGCTCACTTCGTGTGGATGTAACACCACGCGCACGCGCTCGCCGCAAGGTAGGCGGCCTCGCGGTCCTCCGCCCCCTCCCCTCCTCCACCACGCCCCTCTCGTCTCCTCTAAAATGGGGGGTGGCGCTGCGCCCTCCCCTGTCGGGAGGCAGCCCCAATCTGCCCATGCCTTTACTGATGCCGTAGACCCGGGGGCAGTCGCGAATCGGCCCTGTCGGGCCCCCATTCTTTTCCCCGCGATGAGGCCGGCTGGCATTTGCACCAGGTATCCGTTCTGAACTTCGAGGCAGTCTTCATGTCCGCGCACGTTCGAGCCCGAACGCTCTCCCAAAATTCCCGGGACGTGCGCCTGAGGTGTCCGCCGATCTGGCGGGCCCGCCTGCTCTCGAGTTTCGGCGTCGTGCTCGTCGCGCTCCTCCGTGCGCCCCCTCCATTGCGCCAGCGTGCACTTAGCAGCGTCGCGTGCTCTTCGCCATCTTCAGCGCGCGATGGGCTCTCGGCAGACCTCAGCTACGGCCGCGTTCAACGCGCCGATGAACAATGCGTTCGTGGTATCTACGCCCCCCCTAGCCATAGCCTCTACCTGCTCGCGCTCAGGTGGCTCCGCCAGCACGCCCACCCTAATAAAGCCCCCCCCCCCCCCCCCCCCCCCGCCGCTTCGATCGCACCTGGAGGCATCAGTGCAATGCCTCTCCGCTGGAACGCGGCATCCGATGCTGGTCAGGAGCGGCGGGCATCTGATCGACGAAGCACGCGCGTGCTGGTCGGTGATCTGCGTCGTCGCCCCCTCGGCGCCGCTGGGGCCGCCCGGCCGATCCCCTCGCCGCAGTCGCCCTCAGGCGCCACAATGATGTGGTCGATGCGCGACGGCCCGCTGCTGCCCGGGAGCGTCGGCGGCAGGTCCCAGTGCGCGCCTATACCACACATGCCCCATCCTGCGAAAAGTGGGCAGGTTGCAGCACTGCTCGGGGTGGCGCTCCCTTGCGCCCTATGGCCCCGCAACGACGTCGTCGCGTGAGCGTGACAAGGCTCCAGTGGAATCTAGCACGATGAATAGAAGATCGCCTTGCGCTGGGACATAGCATGCAGCGCCCCCGTGAACCAGTCTCTGCGGGTCTGGACTTTGTGCATGTATGTATACATGATTCATCTGTCGGTTTGGCCTGGGTGGCGGTCTGTTCGAGAGGGTAACGCATGACCACGAGCCGCGCCGAACTCCACCAGGTTCGTAGATCACTCCATGCACGCGCCCACAAGTGCACACGGGTGCAAGGACCATGTGTTTGATACAGTGTACAAGAAAACGTTCACGTCGCAACATACTCGGCACCCCGCAACGTACAGTCGCCATTTTCCCCTGGAGATACCTCGCCACCACTACCGTGTGTTCTTCCACCTCTTTGCTGTCCTTCCGCTGCTCGTTTCCGATCTTCCCCTGGGTGCCGATGGGCCCCACCACATCCATCCTTCCTATCCCCTCGGCAATGACGAGGATGCGAAAGGAGGACAGGACAGCGCACGGGTTGTAGCTGAAGGCCCTGAGGACACCCGCGGTGGCGGGCGGCAGGGACGGCTCACGGTCCGCCGCCAGGCTCGCACCCGCTGGAGAGAGATGGGGGTCCCCGCGCAATCCTGGGGGGGCGGGTTCCTTCGGGTGGCTGCGGGAATTGTCTCCTGAAGAGGTTCTTGCCGCCTTGACGAGGAAGACGACGAGGAGGAGGAGGAGGAGGAGGAGGAGGGGGAGGAGGAAGAGGAGGAGGAGGGTTGGAGGAGGAGGAGGAGGATGACGAGGAGGAGGGGGAGGAGGCGGACAAGGTGGAGGAGGGGGAGGTGGAGGAGGAGGAAGAGGAGGAAAAGGAGAAAAGGAGATGGAGATGGAGGAAGGAAAGGAGGAGGAGGAGACGGAGGCTGCAAGACGGAGGAGGAGGAGGACGAGGAGGAGGAAAAGGAATATGAGGGAAAGGAGGAGGGTGGGAAGGATGGCGGGGGGGTGAGGGGCGATGGGGGTGGGAGGAAATGAGGAGCAGAACGGGCTTCAGCAGGAGGAAGAAGAGGAGGACGACGACGAGGAGGATAAAGAGCAGGGGGAGGATGAGAAGTGGTATTGACGCTTCGATGGTCCGTTCATCAAACCACCGGGATACTCAAATGACGAAAAGCAAGGCCCAGGACCCAGACAGCCGACGCTGAATCCCACCAGCCTTTTACGGCGTAGGTAGTCTAGGGACGTTCCTCTTCCAACCCTCTCCTTCCCCTTCGGGGAAGGGTTTACCACTCTTCCTTCTTAGAATACACACCCCCTCCCCACCCGGCCAGTGTCCAACCAGGAACCATGCCGACACCACGAGGGCCCGCCACACACCATCCCTGTCAAAAGACCATACAAACCGCAAGTTGCCTCCACATTTGGAGCATGCGCGGCCAACCCGATGCGCCCCCCCCCACACACACACCACCAACCCCATCAACAAAAACAAAACAAGGTACACTCTGGGGCACAGTCTTGAGTCATGCTCGTAAGGCCCGCGAACACATTGTATTATTTTTGATAAGGGCGGCGGGGGTGTCAGCATATTCCTTGGTGCCGTGTTTCTGGATCATGCGCGACCATCCCGCGATCGCGTCCTGTGCGCAGACCCACCAGACACAATGATGGGCATTGGTTTTCGACAAATATGGCGGGAACCGCCATGGCTCCCGATGTGTGCTGTCACGCGCGCAGGCGCACATGACACACTCTGCACGTGCGCCGAACATGGCGCACCTGGCGCGGCTGGAATGTGCGGCACACCTGGCGCACTCGGAACACGTGGCGCATCTGGCCCACCAGGCGTGCCTGGCACGCTCGGGCCCCAAGGGTGCCTGGCGCGCGTGGCGCCCCTGGCACGCGTGGCGCACCTCGCCCAAAAGTCGCGCACCTGGGGTCGGCTTCGGTTCCCAGTAACTGTCCATCCAAAGACGACCGCTGAACATGCTCAGGCTGGTGTGTTACTCATGTAACGTAGTGGGATGGCGGGTGGGAGTGAACTAAACGGCTTGCGGGCGGGTGGGTAACTAGCCTGACCCCTCCCCCGACCCCCTTTCCCCTGGACCTGGACGGGGCGTTTCGCTGGTAGTTTGAGCGTTCAAGATGGACCAAGACGGCACCAAGAACGCCTCGGAGAGCCCAAGATGAGCGCCAAGACGGCTCAAGCTGGCCTTAAGCTGGCTACCGAGATGCTGCAAGAAGTCTCAAGACTGCTCCAAGACGGCCCCAAGAGGCTTCCGAGACCGTCAAGGAGGCTTCCAAGAAGCCCAAATCCTTCAAACACGTAGTGAAACCAGTGATGCGTACATCGTCGCCCGTTCGCTTCCGATCGCCTTCCGAAGCCTCAAGATGGCTCCAAGACGGCCCAAGGGGGCCCCAAGAGAGGCCCAAAAGAGCCCCAAAAAGGCTCCAAGAGCGCCCATCCAAGAGCGCCTCAAGAGATCATCTTTGGGGCTCCCGAGGGGCAGCGCTAATTGGGGAACTATTTGTTTTGATCGGTGTCCTCCAAAATGGCCCCAAGAGCGTTCCCAAGGCTCCAAAGGGCGCCCCAGAGGCGCCCAAGAGGCCTCCAAGAGAGGATCCCCGAGGCACCCAAGATGCCAATCAGACGTTCCACGTGGCCTCGAAAAACAAGAGACATACGAGGAGGCTCTTCTGGTCGTCATTGTGTGTTCCTCCTCCTCCTCCTCCTCCTCCTCCTCCTCCATATCCGCCTTCTCCTCCTCCTCCTCCTCCTCCCTCCTCTCTGTCCCCCGCCTTCTCCGCCTCCACCTCCTCCTCCGAAAGCAGGAAGAAGTACGCGCAAAAATCACGACAGTCGGCATGCTTCGCAAAAGTTGCTGTCTTGGGATGGGCTGGTGGGGATACTTGTTGGTAATTACACGGGCGCGCGACGAGTCGAACTCCGTGCAAGCTAAGGCGGGCCGCGCCGACGCAAAGCGGAAAACAGCGAAACGAGCGGCGCCCAGCTCAGAGCGGAACTGGGCTCAACGCGGCCAACAAAAGCGCGGGAGGTATCGCAAATCAGCACCGAGGTCGCGTCAATCAGAGCTGCGGTACCAGGTAACGCAAGGCGTGCCCACTGAGGTGCCAATTAGGAACGCAGGGCTGGTGGAGACACACGAAACGTCAACTATTTGTTCTCAATCCCCGGCCCAGAGCTCCCGACCGCTTCTCTGGCGGTGTAGCCCTTCGCCCCAGGTCCGTTGTGGATGGCCCTGGGTTCGGAAACGGGGCCTGGAGGCCGAAGTCGATGAAAACACGAACTGTGCGTTTGCAAGGCATGCCGTCGGAGATCTGCGTCTTGCGCTGTCGTCGTAACCCATAGCTTGGCCTGCCCGCGTGCGTTCGGCCGGCTGGCCCCCCCTTCGGAAGCCGCGCGATCGCGGCCGCGCCGCGGCGCCACGGCGCGCCACGCGCTCCAAAAGCCGCGGCCGCTCAGGCGCAGGCGGACTTCCGGAGCCGCTGCGAGCCCCCTGTGGCGGCGCGAGCCCAATGGGGGCTGGGCGACAGGGGGGGGGGGCCTTCTGAGGAGGCAGGGCAGGGGGGCTCCTCAAACCTTGCCCGAGATCGGGAGGTCGCACACTGTTCGCACTGGGCGCTTGCGCCCGGCTTCGGGCCCTGCGGCCCTCACGCATCGATCCGGCTCGAACAATGCAGGGGCATGGATATGGGGCTCTGGTCGTGCCTTTTCCGAGGAGCTGCATTTTTTCGCAACGTCGGAACTCAGGGTTGTGGAAAAGCCCAGGAAGGTTCGACCACACCTCTGGGAGGGCGGGTGGGGGGCCCAGGAACCCAGGACTCCGACGTCGTGATCTGTTGGCAGCGTGGGCCCCTATGTCTGGGCCTTTTCCCCGGGACCGGCTTTCCCGAGCAGTCTTTGTTGACGGCCCGTGGGTCTGGAGGCCGAATGGCACCAACAACACACACCGTTGTGTGCGTGTGCTTTTGTTTTCACAACGCGAGGAGGTGGGGGATGCCCCCCACCCTCGAACCAAAAACGCCCCCCCTCCGACCCACCCCCCTTCTGCGCGCCGCCAGACCCCCAGCGATCGACGAGACCCTGTTCGTCCACCTGTCGATGAACTCCTGGCTCCTGAAAATCGTGTAACCGATCCCTATGCCCACTGACATGTTCTGGACCCCACTGGCCAACTGCACAGAACGAAGCAACAGCACACACAGAAAATTCCGGAACGACAGAAAATTATGTGTTCTTGCGGCTCTGCCATCTTCGAATCCGTGCAGTTCCCGTCGGGTTTCGCGGGACCTATCCCAACCTGCGCGGCCGACCTGGTGGGTCCGAGATACCATGGCCCGAATTCGTCGGCGCGCTCGGGGGTGGGTAATGGGGGACGGGCGCTATCTGAAGGCTCGGAAATTCTCCAGTCGAAGGCTTCCCCGAAAGCCCGAGGGCTCCTGAGAGCCCCCGCCGCCTTCTGAGACGGCCTTCTCCTTCTGGCTTCCCCGCTCGCTCGCCGCCGACAAATGGGCAGTGGGGATGGGGACCGGTTGCGTCTTTGAGCAGGGACCGACCGTCCTGGCATTCCTATAGTCCTACCACGAAATGTTCTTAGAACCCAGAAATGTTCTAAGATACAAAAGCAGTGTTCTTGGAACAGAAACCCGATGCGTTCAAACAAGACAGTCCCGGCCAGAAATGTTCTAAGAACATGTCGTGCAAACCACAAAAGGTTCTTAGTACATTGTTCGGTGGGGCTATAGGCGAGCCAGGTCGCTTCACCACTGCTTGACGGCTGCTCCTGCCGAAGCCGAGGTTGGCCGGCGGCGCCGGGGGGCCGGCCGGCTCGTCCACCACCAGCGCCGGGGGGGCGGCGACCCCCGAGCCGTGCGGCAGCGACCCGTAGGTGGGCGCGCCCCTGCCAGGGAGGTGCGCCAAGCCCACCCCCGTCGGGTCGTGGGCCAAACTCACGAAGAACGGTTGAAGGCTGTGTTCAGTCTCCGGGGGCCCTCCCCAGGCCACGGCACCGTCAACAAACTTGCGCAGGATGAAGAACCGGTGCGAGGGGGAACGAGCCGAGACCTCTCGGGGTCCACGCTGTGAAGAAGTCAAGTGTCGGGGGGGCCCGGGACCACAGGGTACGGTCGGGGCCTTTTGCTTAGCGTGTCGTGGCGGCGGCCCTGGCGACACGCTGTGGCCTGCAAGCAGATGGCGTGTCGCTCCGAGTCGTGGGACGAGAGGCTGGGGAAAGACCGGGGGCGTTGATGCTGGGAGGCTGTGACGTGCGGAGCGTGTCGCGCCCAATTGCGATGCGCCAGCACTGGCTGCCCCACGCGCTCAGCAAAGGTTCCCGACAGCAGGCGCAGACGATACGACACCTCGCCTCCAGGGGCACATCTCCTCCGTCGACCCCGAATTGCACAAGGTGCCCCAGGGCTCTGCGGGCCCGATTCTGCTGGGGGCGTCCGTTGGCCGTCCGAAGAACTGCTGGTTTCAATCGTGGTGTTCTTCACGCATTTCGGCGAGGCCGATGATGATGACGATGATGACGATGATGACGATGATGACGATGAGGAGGAGGTTTTCCCGCGAGCACAGCGTGGGCGAGCACCTCGCGTCCACCTGCGTCAGGCCAGGTTAGTCCTCCGCGCCGCCAGAGGCGGCGGAGGAAATATGTGCCTCCACGCCACTTCCCGCGGCGGAGGCCCTGGCAGCAATCCCAATCGACTCCAGAAACTCCAATTCCTGGGTTCTGGACAGCGCGACCACCTCTCCAGGCAGTCTGTCATACTTATAAGGATGCTTACCTGCCAGCAAACGATTACGTCGAGTCTTGGCGTTGTGGTCCCTCGGGTCCTTAGGACAACCTGTAAGTAACCCACAAGCCCTGGCGCTCAAAAAGGAGCCGCACTCTCGACAGAAGGTGTAGTGGCCAATTCGAGACAGCTTGCGTCGCCTTGGCCCCTCCAAAGGAGCCCCGTCGACACGCGCTATCTTCTTCCACTTGGCGTGCGAGGGGAAACCCTTCCTGCAAAACTTACGCGACAGCGCCAGCTTGGCCTTATAGCTGTGGGCCCGTCTGGCACAACAAGCACACCTCCAGGACCCCCTGTCCCACTCCAGGACGTGCCGAGACCCGGGAGGAGGCAAAACCGAACGGCGCGGCCGAGGGCCAGGGGGCTGGGAGGCGTTCTGGAGACGGCCTGTGGTGTCATCAAATGTGCCTATCTTACAGGTCATATCTCCGACAAGCCCGAGGACAGCACAAACCTCCTTAAATCTGGCCACCCACGTGTCTCTGATACGAGGCGGGATGGCGTCTAGCTTGGCGCCCTCCTTCGCTTGAAGGTCGGCGCACTGATTCCCTAGGTAGTTGCACAGCTCGAGTCTCTCAAGCTGCTGGGCCTGGGCCTTCTTGGAATGCGCTTTGACTTTGACGACGACGAGGTCCCCCTCACCGGCGAACGAATCTTCAATCGCATTCCAAATCATATGCCATAAATCGGCATGCGGTCGTCTGGCTTGGCGGCACCAAACTGGGCCTCGCCTGAAGCCCCGAGCGACGGTATAATTGTCGATCCCCACCTGTAGAGGGGCAGCGCCGTGCCGCAGAACATTCAGGAAACCGTGCAATCCTGTTCTAAGCACATTTTGTGCCTGCCTAACTCCTGGAACCGTGCCATGCGTTGCTTTGCGTATATTTCCATGCTGGTCGACAAAACAGAGGCCCCATCCGAACGCCTTCAACCCAGAGACCCCGACCCCCGACCCATCCGAGTAGGCCAGTCCTGAGAGAAGGGGATCGTCCCCGTACTCTGGGTCCAGGGTCTCCATGCTGGGCGCGACGTCCAGGAAGGGACCCCCCAGCGGGTGAGGCACGAGAGCCCTGGAAAAGAGACGGGAAGAGGAGCACGAGGAGGAGGCGCGGTGGATGATATCAGGATAGGATTCACCTGCAGCCTGGCGCTGCTCCTGAAACGCTGGGCACCCATGGGAGCCCCAAATGTCAAACCACTCTTGCGCGGCCCTGTCGGCCGCTTCCTGAGGATCAGCAAGCTCGAGGTTGGAGACAGAGTAACCCGTAACGGGGGGAGGAGGAGTACGCCACTTGCTGATCCTGTGGATGAAAGAAGAGCCTGCAGTCGACTCCTTCTTCAAACGTTCTCGCCATTCTTTTGACCGTGCGGCTGCCTGCTGCCGTTCGATGGCCTGAGCATTGGCTACTGCGCGACGCTGGAGACCCATGATCTCTGGGGCCTGCTCCATGAGCGCTGGGCCCTCGAGACAAAAGGCGCGGTATCGTTCAAACTGGGCGATTGCGTGCTCAGCCTCCTCCCCCAGGCCATGAACCAGCCGACTCCTTCCTCCTCCGATGCGGCGCTCGAGCTTTGCTCGTCGCGCACGTGCATGCATCCAGATGCCCTCCTGCTGGGCAGCTTGTGCGAGGAATATGAAATCACTGGCTCGTGCGGCTACCCACCGCCAAGCTTCAGCACAGTGTGAGACCTGCTTCCAGAGCTGATCAAGCTGGGTGCCATTTAAATCGTCCTGATGATCGAAATCTGGCCACTGTGCAGGCTGCGGGACTGGTCCGCGCGGCCTCTCCATTGGGAAAGGTCTGGGCTTGGCAAGCCTCCAGCCGCCTTTTGCTCGCATCCTGGACTGCATGACTAGACGGATTGGCGAGTGAGGCGCGGCTGCAGTGTCTAATACTTATACCGCGTCACCGAACGCATGCTGGATGCGGGCGTCGAGCACAAAGAAATCGATGATACTGCCACCGCCGACTCCTGCGCACGTGGTAGTGGAGGGGAGACGCACCACTCCTCCCACATCTTGGCACCAGCCCGTCTTGAGCCGAGACTCCCCCGTCTCGTTGAAATCTGCTTGGAATATCCACGGTATGTCATACTGCTTGATGACCGTAGCGATGGCCTCCAGAATTAACAAATTTCGAATCGTCCAACCTTCGCGTGTCCAAAAATATGCCGTGATAATCATGAGGCCACCCTTCTGTCCAGCAGAGCACCAGACCACTGCCACGAGCCCAGCCGAGCCAGGAGGTGAGATATCAAACGTATTCATGCCTTCGAGGCACGTAAGACCAACATTCCTTGGCACAAGAAATCCAACTCCACTAGACGGTCGTCCGCCTGGGCCGCTGACGGCTGGAACCAATGCTGCTGTATAGTACCTGTTGAAGCTGGCCGCCTCTATGTCCTTGGCGATGGGCGCACTCAACTTATGCTCCTGAAGGAACGTGATGCGCATGGGGCCCACGATCTTCCTTGTGGCGACCTCATCCAGCACATCGATAGCCTGCGCCCAAGAAGAACAGTTGAAGCCTATGAACTCGAGCCCCACATTGCGAGTGCCGCCCTTGCCTCGACGACGCGGGGGGCTCATCTTCGGTGAACTTGACCCTGTAGAGAGAGATGTACTGGATGTTGCGTCAGGAGGAGACCCTCTGCCGTGATCTGACTCCTGCGACGTGATAGACTCCTGCCATGAGCCCGACCATGTAGAGCACATTGAGTACTGGTACCTGTGGCCGTGGAGGCCGAGCTGCCGAGCCCGCGCGGGCTAAAGCGGAACTGGTTTGGCCACTGCCTCCGCCCTGCGAGCCCTGGCGCGCTGCAAGGCCTCCGCCAGCTCCTTGCCAGCGGCTTCGCGACCAGCGTCAGGGCCAATATCAGCGCTGGCAGCGCCTGGCGAAGCGCCCTGGGGGCCCTGCGCCTCCGCGGCGGGCTGGGCGGCCTGCTGGGCCTCCTGGGAGGACTGGGCTGGCGCCTGCGGCGGGCCTCCCTCGGGGCTCTGGGCCGCTGGCGCCTCCGCAGCCGCCGCCTCCGCAGGAGGGTCCTCGCGCTTGGCCCGGGCAGGCGCCTGCGACGGGCTCCCCTCGGGGGTCTGGGGCGCGGGCGCCTCTGCAGCCGCCGCCGCCGCCGCAGGGGGGTCCTCACGCCTGCGCTTCTTGAAGGTCTCGCGGAGCACCCTGATCTCTTCAAGCTGCTCGCGCTGGGACTTGAGGACGTCGGCCCCTGGCCCGAAGTGCGTGCGGACCGCCTGCTGCACCGACGCCTCGAAGGTCTGCTTGAGCTTGTTGAACTGCTCCCGCTGCTCGGCCGCGATGTCCAACCCCTCAAGGTCGAAGAGGGGGCCGTCCTCGATGACGAAGCTGGCCTCGCCTTCGCCCAGCAGGGCAGAGAGGTTGATGACCCCGCCGCCCTTGTTGGTCCCCTCGGGCTGGGAGTCCTTGCCTGGAGCCGCCAAAGCCTTCTTCTCCTGAGCCAGCTTGACCTCCGCACCCACCAGGGCGTCAGCTGCGGCATCGGAGCGAGCCTGGCACTCGTCGAGCCAAAGCTTGGCGTCGGCCAGCTGCTTGGCACGCTTTTCCAGCTCCCGACGTGCAGCCCTCTCCGCTGCGGCCGCCCGCTGGATGCCCTCCTCCAGGAGCGCGGGGCGCTCTGCAGGTGCCGGCGGGGCAAAGGCGCTCTCGAGCTGCTGGAGCGCCTGCCGCTGGGCCTCGGAGAGGGCCTGCCCACCAAGGGTCTGCACCACCTCGCCGATCGCGAGCGGCTCGGTCCTCTGCGTGGTCTCCTCGGCTTCGTGGCACCAGTCGGTCTGACCCTTGTGGTTGTCCTGCCACCAGCCTCTGCTGCCGCTAGCCCAGACGCCACGGGGCTTTGGAGCGGGAGAGTACGATGGTCGCAGGGCCTGCCCACAGCTGTAGCACGACTGCTTGCTCTTGTAGGTCCAACGGTAGCCACATTTCTTGCATCCCACGTAGTCGGACGAGAAGGAGACCCTTGGAGCTGGGGACTTGCCGCCTCCACGCCTGCGATCCGACATGGCGGCGGGATGGACTGGGACTCTGGACGGCAGCGCGCAGCTCCCCGTACAGGTCTCGAAAGAGGATGT